TGAGCTTTTCTGCACCCCCAAAAGACCCCTCGGATCTGCTCTAGGCATCCATAAAAACACAACACGGTTCCACAGTCAGATTACACACAGTGCAGCATGTCCTCTCTGGCTCCCGCCGCCTCCGAGATCACTTCCAGCCGCACACAGGACGCCGCTGGAGTGGTGCATTGCAGCTACCCTCCACCACGGCTCAGTGCAACCACGATACATTCATTTATCAAAGTGAGATGCGTTTGCAGGAAATGGCACCCAAAACACCGTGTAAATGCTTTCATCTCAGGCCCTGCATCCACCCTGCAAAGGCACAAGCATCCGCGAGGTCCAATGTGCTGTGGTCAGGGTTTATTTTTGTGGCTGCGTCTTGTTTATCGATCTTACCCTGAGCGACTCTAGAACTGTCAAATCCATCGTCACCCCTGCACCCAACTCCTAGGCCTCGCTTGTCTGGATCCAGCAAATCCGATGTTGCCTTCCACCGTCCACCCCTCAGCAGCCAAGGAACCAACTTCAGGCTGCAGGCTTTAACCCTACGGGACTCACAGGCTCTGACTGATGCCTCTGCGTCCATATCCATTTTCCAGAGCACTCCGGAGCTTTGCTAGTGCAGCAAGTGGAAAGCAGAGCTGAGACTTCCACACTGTGTTTCAAAGCTGCTGCCTGTCAGCAGCACATCTGTGTAAATGCACCATCTTTGCGCGCACACACCCAAGTTCACCTTCAAACACGGAAGTACTAAAATAAAAACCACCACTGAAAACTGCTGACAAACAGGAAAAACCACCCTGAAATCAGGACAGTAAAGAGTTCCTTCTGGAGTGACCGTTTCCTACAGTGACTTCAGCACAGTACAAGCAAATAGTACAGACATCTTCCAAAGAGGTGGATTTTTCTCATAGAGATCACAGATGTCCTGCAGAGTCTTGGTTTTCCTTCAACAATGATCACGTTTTACGACAGGTTGACTGCAGATGCTCTCAAGTCAAGGCTTATTCTTCTGACACTGCACTCTGCACTGTAGAAAAGAGCTAGTGATGGTGGGACTTGGCAAGGGGTGGGAGGAAAGGGGCCTAGTTTATGACGACCTCACAAAGGACTCTGGAAGCCAAAAGCAGGCCCTTCAACAGATTCTTCCGTGTTGGGCTTCCAAAAGCTGAGATTCCCAAAAGTCACCTTCAAGGAGCTTTAGTACTGCAGTCTATTGAGTGAGTCGATGTAATGAAAAGTGGCTCCCAACGCCCAGCTTGTCTCAACGTTGTCAATTTTCCGGGCCAGCTGGAAAAAACAAACAAACAAACAAGTTAAACTACAGTTCTCTGGCAGAAGGAGCAGCACACAAGGTGAACGCAGCGCTGAAGGTTATCACAACTGGTTATCATCACCGTGGGGACTGTGCCTCCACGCCCAGCCACAGGGCATGTGTTGTAGCAAGAAGGCAAATCAAGGACTGAGCTACTGGCGTGACAACTAATGCCTCGGCACCCTCCTGCCCGCTCTCCCCAGCCATCCTGTTTGTGCACCACCTTAAAGACTTGGCTCTTCGGGAAGCCCAGTTCTTGCAGGAGGAAGGTGATGTACGTGAGGTCCATGCAGAGAAAAGGGCTGCTTCCAGGGCTGATCTCCATGGTCTTACACACTACAGAGAAAGAAAACAGTGTCTGAATGTGCACTGTGGGCTCAGGCCCAGCATCAGCCCAGCTTCGAAAAACCTCAAATGAATCCATAAAACACCTCTTGTCAGCTGAGTGGCACAGTGATGGAACCTGTTACAACAGGGTTGAGATGACACGCACGCATCAGCAGAAGCACCAAAGCTCTGGCACACTGGAAGGAAGATCAAGGCATTCTGTCTCTCCCCTAAGACAGCTGAGTTTCTTGGATGAAAAGGGCATCCAACTTTTCTCCTACCTACTTCAAGCCTTTAAAAATCCGCGCAACCTCAGATGTGTTATGTTTCTCGAGCACAAGCACTCAGCAGATGTTGACAAAACCAAAGGGAAAAAAAAGAAAAGACAAAAGAAAAGAAAAAGAAAAGACAAACCCAAAATAAACCCCACTTCCTTTCTCAGGATGAATTACACAAATGGTAGTCCAGAAATCAGAACTGCAACAACTGCTCAATCATTCATAAAGTTTACCAAAAAACCTCACGTCAGTTTGATCAAAGCCTGAGTCTGTGGTATTAAGAAAAGAATGTTTACATTTGTACATCTGCGTAGGCAGTTCTCTCTGCAGCCGATGAAGCCAAAAGCTATGAACCGGTTTTCCCTTTTTCCGATTAACAACCAAGCATATGAGCAAATCTTGAGACAAAAAGCAAAATTCAACTGGATTAGAATGGGTCATGCTAGCAGGATGAGACCCCCCACATCTGTTTTAAAAGCGCGACTTCAGGACCACTGTTAACTGGCAAGTTTGTAAGCAATTCTTGAGAGAGTTCTGAAATATAAGTATTGTAAGATGTGCCTTCTGTGGGCTGCAAAAGCAGGAAGTAACATAAAAAATAGTTCAGATTTTCAGAAATAAGCAGAAATGTTGGTGAGAGGCTCTGGAAAGAGGTGCTCAAGACAGGTGCTCAATACTACTTAAAACAAAAAAGCAGGCTTCTTAGCATGTCACACATTTGCCATCTGGGTATGAACTTACACACAGTTGCTAGTGTGTGTTTGATTGTGTTTTACTTACCATATTTAGCTGCAATTTCAAAGTCACCGACAGTTAAGCTTCCTCCTTTTTCTTTATCTAAAAGGAAGAAAAAAAAAGTGTTCTTTTATGAGTTTTGTACAAAGGCAATTGTAGATTCAAGTCATAAAAGTTGTTTGGAAATCAAACCTTGAGCCACTGAAACCAATGTCAAAACTCACACTTGCTTTAAAGTTCAAAGAACCTTTAAAAGATTCTTAATATAGATTGAAAAGCCTTGTTTTATGAAGAAATTTTAGCCTCGTTTCCTGAAGAAACATAGTTTACAGACTCTCTCACCTTGTCCCCACATCACGTGCTGCCCTGCCCTGTGATGCCTGAACACAGTTAACGCCTTTGACCAGATCTGACAGGGCAGTGGTGCCCTGCGACATATTAAATCTGAAATTATTTGTAAAGCAAAGTGGCTGAGGAGGGGAGTGTATTTGTCTATACTAGTTTGAGATCTCATCATCTGCCTTCTACCACTGAACATGACAGCCTTCTGCACACCAGCATACCACTGGAAAAGAGATGGGATGTGTTCTGAATACATGTGGAACTACCTGAAAATCTTCATTCCATCTGAAAAGGTCAGTGAAGCAAAACACACAGCCCAAGATCGTAAGTCTGATTTGCTTTACTGCCCAAGAAATGTGCTTATCATTACAAAGGTCATGGTGGTGTTGGGCTGACAGTTGGTCTTGACGATCTTAGAGGTCTTTTCCAAACTTTGTGATTCTATGATTCTAAGGTCTTTTTTCTATTTTGGATTGTAGAATTAATCAGACACCAACGACTTCTGAAATGCAGACAGTTTGTTTAAAAAACATTACTGGAAGTTGCAGGTCCTATCTCACACCCCGAGCCCCTTCTCTATAGAAATTCAATAGCGTTCAATATCCAGTTGAGACCAGTGCTGCACAGCAGTGGAACAACAGACTAAGTTCCATGAGAGCTTCGACAAGCATCGTGAAGTGTAGAAGTGTTACCATTTCTTCCACAATTTGTCATTTAAAATGAAACGAAAACAGGAGCAAACGTACCGATCAGACCAACCTCTGCTGCACGGTCATAGTAGTAGGAGAAAGCGTAAAAATCCAAGTCCTTCACTTCCTCAGCTTTATGCACTTTTCTGTAGAGCATCTTTGCCACTTTGTTAGAACAAGACTCATACAGAGGCTCACCTAAAAGAAGGCAAAGAAACCCAGCATATCATAGGCAGAGAGTTAAATACACGTACAGTTTATTCAGGATCCACCAGGAAACAGGCTCCCTTTCGCACAATGGCGCTGCATAATTTCTTACAAGCTCTTCACAGAGAACTGAAATCTGCATCTTCTTCCAGTGGCAACACTTGCCATCCTCAGGTTGGGATGAAGTGTGCGACAGATCAGAGATGGACAACATCATTTGAGGCAGAAGGAGTTTGAAAAACCTGTTCAGGGATTGCTCAACTCCATCTGCACTACTCCTAGCAGCCTTGCTGACTGGACAGACACACCATGGCACAAGAGGGAAGAGCTGCAGAATCTCTTTAACAGCACGTCAAGAGGAGCCAGGCAGAACAGTAAACAGAGAACCTAGTGACTTTCCAAGGGCCTGAGACTGTAGCATTCACTCTGCTAATAGCATGCTGGCCTAGATAGGAAGAGCAGTAAATCACTATACCTGCCTTCTGTCCTTTAATTTTGTATACAATCTCAGCATGTTGCCACTCAGATTTGAAGCCAGGTGGTAAACAAGGGCTGATCAATTCCTCCCCTTCTCCTACTGCAGAAGAAAACAAAGCCATATTAGGGAAAAACATAAGGAGTTAATTTCAGATCCCTCACCCCCAGGCCTGCTCCATACTGTCCCACAGCCTCAGCAAGGCACCTGCGAGCCCCAGTCATGGCTCAGACGTCCCATGGCCCCACGGAGCTGGCAAGAACCCAGGTCTCCTGGGATACAGCACTGTCACCTCCTGCATTCCTCTCAAATGCACCCAGCCACAGCGACAGGAGTCCACATACCACTCAGGAACCTTGACCGCTGTGGCAAGGGGACAGACAACTCCTCCCTCCCCCAACAGGGCTACATACCCTATGCTCAGAGCCAAGACTCGAGGAGTGCCCATAACTTACAGGGTTTTCCCTCCACTCCTCCTAAAATGGCGAGCCTTGCTGACATCAGCCCGAGTCCCAGGTAACTGCAAAGGGATAAAAGCCTCTGTGAACAACAAACATCCTTCCTCTGACCCTCCACTGAGAACTTTGCTGGGACATGCCAGCCTCCTCTACACAGTCCCAGCAAAAACAGCTTGAGTCAGCAGCTAATGCACATAAGGGGAACAGTGTGACAACCCACTCTTGTATTGCCCTTACCCAGAAGGATAATCTCTCTCTGAAAAAGCCCAGGCAATAGCTCCAACGGTAATCTGGCTCTTGAAGAACTGGGAATGTTGAAGGCATTTGCCTAACATTTCTCCTACCCTCCTCAAAGGCAGCACAGCCTCTGGTATACAGAACTGACTCTTTGAGCCCAAACACACCGCACAGCAAACACAGGTGGGAAGAAGCTGCTTCCCTCTGCCCAGAACACAGGGAGCAGGGGAGGACAGTGAGGGAGGAACAGCAGAGGCAAAGCGCTACGAACTGACCGCAGCCCCCATTCTCCATACCCCTGCGCCGCTCGGGGGGGAGGAGGCAGAACAGCTGGGAGCGAAGATGAGCCTGGCAAGAAGGGAGAGGTGGGGGGAAGGTGTTTTTTATTTTGTTCTTATTGCTCATTATCCTACAGTTTCATTGGCAATAAATCAAACTAACTTCTCTAAGTCGAGTCTGTTTTGCCCATGTCGGTAACTGGTAAGCGACCTCCTCGTCCTTATCTTGATCCATGATTGACAGAGGGCAAGTAATAGAGCGGCTTGGAGGGCACCTGGCAGGCAGCCAAGGTTAATCCACCACAACAACGTGGCTCAGGCTTCTTCGCTTCTTCCCAGCACTCATTTGCAAGGACCCCACTTCAGCAAAACACCTAGACCTCACTGGCTTCATAGAAAGCTTCTGTCTCTACAGTGCGCTGACTTTCCCACAACTAACCTGTACGAATACAGCTTGTAGGTGTTGTTAAACATCTGAAATGAAGTTGTATGGCCAGTTGGTGATGTCTGGAGGGTTGCCTGGAGGTAGAAAAAGATGTCACTGCAAGGTTTCTGCCAGCAGCAGCAAACACCAACAGTACAATCTTCCAAAACATTACGAAAAATGTGAAGCAATCCTAGCATGGTTCAGAGAGAAATGATGAATTTGCAAGTAGTTTGATTTGACTGCTGACACACGAGACAACCACAAAACTTGGGAGCTAAAATAGTATCTTCACATGAAAGAGTCTAAACTGGTTACACTTCTATTTGTATCCACACCAAATTGGTGTATAAAAGAATTATTTTAATTAAAAAGGAATCCTTATTCCAGCTCTCAACTGCTTTTGTCAAGAGGCCACAGCAACTGCCTCTTCACGTGATCTCTACTAGGGAAAACTGTGTGCCAAGTAATACGAAAGCCAGGCACACGTTAACTTCCTACTCAAGAGAATTCAGCTGTGAACTTCCAGAAGCCAGAGGAAAAGCACACCACTGCACTGGCCAAGGAACAGAGTGAGGACCAGCCTGTGGTCTGAAGAAATGAAAGGGTAATTATCTCAAGCACTGTGCAGCCTCTTCCCCAAGTGCACCAGCACCGCCAGCGCGTTCGTGGGGAGCAAAGCTCAGGCCACGATGCTATTCATGCTGCTCCTATCTTAACACCATCTCTAAGCCCAGAATTTCCACATCCTAGACTCTTCACATCCCCTCTCATTCTCCTGTGAGAGATGTCTTGATTAGCCCATGCTGGGACAGTAGATACAGCATCCCTATCCTCTGCTTTTGTGCAGCTTTTCTATAACCAGTATCTCTGCTCAGGCCAGAGCCTTACGATTCCACACCCACAGCGCTTCCAGCTCACAGAACACCTATGAAAATGCCACAACAGGAGGCTGAAATGACAAATGTGAGCATTTATTTTTTGCCGCATAATAACAGTTGCTCCTCAGCATTCATTTGCAACTGGGCGAACTCAGGAAAACCAGAAGCAAGGATTGTGAAGGCATGTTACAGTGTTCTTAAAACCCAGTGTAGGCCAAATATTGAACTTGAATTCATTACCAGCATTGCCTTTGAGTTCTTCATTATAAGCAGCACAAATGGAGAGTCAAGGATTAAGATGCTCCAGCGAACACTGCATTTTCCCCAAGAGAAGGCAGACCTGGCAGACTCACCACATGCACCGCTGACCCATGCAGTTGGAGTAAGAGGACTGACAGCGTTGTGAATGCCTCCGAGACTGACTATAACAAGGCACATGTGACCAAGTGACCTGGGTTCTTCTGTCAGAAGTGTGGCTTCACGTCACACCAACAAACACTTGGTCTGTTTCCAAGGGAAACACATCCCAGCAGTTGCTGATTTCTGCACCAGCATTTCCCAACAGTGTGCATGTTCACATTACCTCCGTGCGCGGAAGGAAGGTGATCTGTGTTGATCCACCACCCAAATCCAGCATCCCTACACTTCTCTTCTGCGGATCGTCTAGGCTACCTGAAACGTGTGACAGAACAGAGAAAGCTATGGTGGATGCTGTGAGAAACTGGCTAGGAACAAAACCAGAAGTACAGTGGTAAAGCAAGAGGACAATCTAACTCCATCTGTCAGCTTCCAGACAGCACTAAATTATACCGTCATCCACTGGGCACTTATTTTGGCTTTATCACAGTGACCTGAAAATCTTCAAGTGACAGAGTTTCTCTTATTTCTCTGGTGGCTGTTCATGCCCTAATTACAGCAGCTTTGGTTACTGGATTCCTAAACATTTTTCAGTGGATGCAAGGACCCTTTTGCAAACTCTACTCTGGTAACCACTTTGTAACACAGAAGAATGCGGTTTTCTTGGCCACTTCTCTCTGATCCCTTAGTGATTTTTTGCAGATTCCTATGGCCAAGGGGATGACTGAAAAGAACTGGCCTAAGAGACTCAGCTCTCTTGGAGTTCTTCCTGCTGCCAGCTCAGACCTCTCTTCTCATTCAAATCCAGTTCTTCTCAGTTAGATCCTTCAAATACACCTTCCTGACAACACTGGTTTGTGCCAAGTACCTCGGTATACTTCATCATAGTTCATGTTTGAAGATCTCTGGTACTCCCTGTGAGTATAAAAAGCTTTAGAGCACATGTCATATCGCTCCACACATTGTGCGTGCTGAACAGAGCGCTCGGACTGCAGACTGCTTTACTTATTGTCAGCGACAGCTTCAGCTTAGTTTTCTCTTTACTCTTCAGCTACCCTTTTCTAACTCTGCAGTGTAAACACTTGTGGTATTTCTATGTTATAAATCTGTAAGGAAGTAGCACAGCACTTTCTTTCACATTAAAAATCTAGCCAGAGCTAGTAGCAGACTCTAAAAAGCAATAAAATGCTCTGGTACCCTACAAAGAATTGAAAGAAAAGCTACACTGAACATCTAGGAAAAGGGATGAAACTCCTCACTCTGTCAAGTAAATGGCCAAAATCCTAATAACTTTAAAAAGGCCAAGCCAAAAACAACTGCTGACTTTTTCCCAGACCCTTCTTTCCCCCACTCCACCCCAGTGAATGAGTAAATCCCATGTGGGGTGGAAAACCGCATGAATTTCACAGCATCGGTCATATCTTTATGCACATGCTCACGTTTACATACCTGTTAAAAAATTTACTGTGATCCAGGCTGAAATACCTAATAAGGAAAAGATTCAGAAGACGCACTGTTAGATCCTACCATTTCATTTTATCTAACAACAGTAACAATAAGGTGAGCCGTATTACATGGTCTTCCTGCTTTAGGACCTGTTTAGCTGGAGGCACTTTAAAGTTATTTTCATGCAGTTTAACTGCACCGTCTAACCAAAATAATCAGCAAACCAGAGCTTGCCATCCAACAACAGAGACACCAGAGGCCATCTGCCACAAGCTCCCTTGTCCCGCTTTCACAAATGGAGGACTTCTAATACACAGTCTCCAAAGGACGTCTAGTGGAGACCTAAGCAAGAGGGACCTTCAAGAAAGGTGAACAGGACTGGCTGAGCAGCCCTAACCCACCTTGCCCCAAAGCCAGTCTTTCCACAACTGTCCATAGCTGTCAAAAACCAAGACTAGATGCCTTGAACAAAGAGAATGACCTTCTATGCCAGAGCTTATGTGATAACTGGAAGAGAAGCCCCATATATGAAATGCCTGGAGAACCCGGTATTTCACAAGTCAAAAACTTAGGTGAGAAGTCACAAAGGCTTCAGTCCTTAGCTAAAAGATAAGGAAATGACGGACACTCTGTTCATTTTCTAGGAAAACATCCTAGAGGGCTTTTGTTTGATGTCAGGCACTCGACTTTCCTTTTGAATACTAAGAATTTTCATCTTTTCAGTGTTCTAATTTTCTTATTTTCCTCTAAGCATTTTTGTGACCCTCACTGTTGCTGTCCTCTTCTTGCTTTATAAACCTTTTCTCCATAAATTAGATGAATTAGTGGGCCTTATGTTAACAAATTCAAATATTTATCCATGTGGTTAAAACACAAGGCATGCTAGGGAACATGGTCCAGTTCAACCCTTGGCTGAACCAAGGCTGTCACTGCTATTAATGGTTTTAAGACAAAACAAAAAGAAGAATTACAATGCCTTTCTTCCATTAAGCAGTAAAAAAAGAACTCATAAACAGCTCCAAACAGCTCCAGCTATTTTAAAGTCTGGTTTCTAAGCAGATTTAAAACACATTTCAACACTCAGTTACTTAGAATTTAGACATGCTTCTTTAAATCATTTTAAATCGGGACTGATTCTGGGCTCCGTCCTCAGCACTTTTTGATGAACATCAACTTACTTCAGCATTTATTTTCTTCTCTATGTAACATTTTTTTCAGACTGAATTCACAATCACATTCATTAGGTCAGTTATAATTAACATTATGACCAAATACTTCCAGAAAGCTCTGATGAGCATTGTCAAGGCCAGGGTGTGCAAAACCAGTTGGTGAAAACCATCTCAACAAGCAGATATTCAGAAACCTTTCCAGAAGTGCTGACTGCACAGTGGCTTCCTGGTGATCCCACAGCAACTGCCCAGCACTCAGAGCTTAGAAAATCAGGACAGAGTTCATGACTTTAAGTTGGAAAACGTAGCACAAGATGTCTTTGGCAGGAACTGCCTGAGGCAGTGTAAAAACTGTGTCAAACCTGCTGCTTGTAGGTTCCCACTACAGCGAGTGGGGACTCATCACAGTGCAGAAGGAATCTCCAGGGTTGCAGAAAGGGTCTCCACAAGTTGGCCTACCTTCATCGGTTCCATTCATTATCGACACGCAGTTGTCCCTCACGAAGAAGGGGGAGGCCTGAAAAATCTCCTTCACCTGTAGTTCAAATAAAAGCTACACTTAGAGAAATCCTTCTTCAGCTGGGAAGCAAGTTTTTTTAAAATTCCAGTTTTACACAACTGCTCATCTTCTTGGGCCAAATCCTGACTGCTGCTAACCTGTTTGTTTTAAGTTCAAAAGCCCAACAAGCATCAGCCTGCGCTCTGCTATAAAAGGTCAGTGATTTGTATGCTGGCTCTGCAGTTTGGTGCAGAGACAGGGATGGATGTGCGGGTTTTCAAGCATGAAGACTGCTCAGAAATGCCATTAGCAAGGGATGAACATGGGTAGGGAAGGGAACCCAGTTTACTCTGCTGCAACTGCCAACCTACAGGGTATTATATATGCATGCGAGAGGCAGAAGACGGACACCCCGGCTTTCAGGAATG